ACACGGGGAATTGTCTCCTAAGGTACCTCGGCGTCATGCCCGCGTACAGCGCTGCGGATGATGCTCTGATAACCAAGTTGGTGACTTTCTATGAGCACCTGAAGGATTCCCCTGCCCCTTCTCACCAAGCGACTGTCCTCTTGTTTGACCCTCGCAATGGTTCTTTGAAAGCTGTAAGTCTCGTGAGTGCCCCTGCATCCTTCTCTGGTAATGCTGTCGGTTCTCCCTTCTAATTATTGGAAGCTGGAGCTGCTGTAAATTGGCCTAAGTTTACCAACATCATCAATGAATATTTAATCAGGATTTGGCCTAATGCCTTCTATATGTGTTAAACTGTACTCACTGTGCTACTTTACTGCTACTTGTGATTGAATCTGATGTCTGAGAGGGTGAATGGTAGAGAGAAATGATTTGGAAAAGCTTACCTTGCATTTGAAAGGAAAAAAAATACCCCACCTTGCTGAATAAAGAATTCATCGTGAACCATCTTAATTTTAAGTTGAAAGAGATTCACAATTTGCATTGCAGGGAATAGTATTCAGAGTCTGATTTTTTCCCCCTGTATTTAAAGAATGAAGAAATTTTTTAAGAATAGTGATGATTTGCATTTAGACTTCAGTAAAAATAATTATTCAAGGGCAAAAACTGGTCAAGAAAACTATCTTGGTCTCTTTTACCAAACTTGACAGTTTTTAAGCCCCCTAATCTGTTGGTAAGCAGTGGCTAATGCACACAGAGGCAGGAGTGCCCCGTGTGTGATACACATTAAAGGAATTCCATAGCTCCCTGTCACCCCGTTGTACAGAGCAAGACAGGGCAGACTGGTGAACCACTGCCAGCTTGCACTGGTCCCTGGTCTTACTGGAGTGCAGGTAATTGGAGATATATCCATGTATTCCCAGCGCTGGAGAGCCAGGGTGAATTTGGGGTGGTTCAGCTCTGACCATTCTGACTCCATTTGTGCTGGTGGAATGACATGAAAGAACTGGAATACACAGAATCTGTCCAGTTTAAATGTGACTTTGTATGGTTTGTGGTTGCTGCACCAGTAATTGCCAACTTTTATATGTCTGCATCTTTTCTATCTGTAATATCACTTCATTCACAAATTGGATGACAACGTTTCGTATTTCCTCACATTTTGAGTGTTCATTTCCTTCTGTTTGAATTTTTCTACAGGTCCTGGATGGCAGTGTCATCACAGCAAAGCGAACAGCTGCAGTTTCTGCCATTGCTACCAAGGTGTGTCTTCTGTTCTCTGAAGTGGGGCAGAGTTAGTGGTGTTTGCTATAAAATAACTCAAAGGAATGATGCAAGTGGCTTTCAGTGCCTGTGAATTTTCATCAAATACATCTTTAAATTAGATTTATGATAACATATGTACTTTCAGGGAAAAGTTAAAATCAGAGTTTTGTGTTTTGAGTGAGTCATGTCTGGCTTTAACACTTTGTGTGTGATTGGAGAAGGAACCTGAGCTCTGTTTTTGTGTCTTCTATTGCACTCTTTTCTAGGAATTTACAGAGGTGTCTTCC